TTTCCTTCGACTGACTTTCAGCCCATTCCCCCGAGCTACCCGCCCCGGCTCCCTGGAGCTGCGGCTGGACCTGCCTCTTCGTCAGCCGGCCCCTTGGTTGGCTTGGGGTGGGGGTCAGGTGACTGGACACCGTCCCGACTGACCCAGCTTCTCTTGGCAGAAAACCCCTGGCGATGTGACTGCGCCCTGCACTGGCTCGGCGCCTGGATCAAGGAGGAAGGGCAGCGTCTCCTCAGCTCGCTGGACAAGAAGATTGTGTGCTCGGAGCCCCCCCGCTTGGCCTACCAGAGCCTGCTGGACATCTCTGGGAACAGCCTGATCTGCATCCCGCCTGTGGTGCAGGTGGAGCCTCTGGAGGTGACGGCCCGGCTCGGGGACGACCTGCGGGTCTCCTGCCAGGCCTCTGGCTACCCGCAGCCGCTGGTGAGCTGGCGGAAGGTGGCCCATGTGCGGGCAGGGCCCGCCACGGTGAGCGCCAGGCCGCTGGGTGGGAGGGCGGAGCTGCGCGAGCGCAGCGGCGGGGAGCGCTTCGACTCGGACACGGGCAGTGGAATGCTCTTCCTCAACAACATCACGGTGGCCCACGCCGGCAAGTACGCGTGCGAGGCCTCCAACCCGGGCGGCACGGCCCGCGTGCTCTTCCACCTCACGGTCAACCTCTCCCAGCAGCAGCCGCTGCCGCCGCTGCGCGCCTACCCGGCCTCCGTGGACGTCAGCCAGGAGCCCCTCTACGACATGGAGAGCATGGACTTCAACGCCCTGAGCATGGCCACGCAGACGGCCATCGCCGTAGGGATCTCGCTGCTGGCCCTCGTCGCCCTGCTCCTCATCGTCATGATCTACCGGAAGCACCGCAAGCGGAAAAAGGCCAAGAAGGAGGAGAACATCCTCTACGTCAACGACTACTCGGACGGGCCCACCACCTTCGCCCAGCTGGAGGAGTACCGCGATGAGCGGGGCCACGAGATGTTCGTCATCGACCGCACCAAGCCGCTCTTCGCCACCTACAAGGACCCCGAGGGGCTGGCCGGGGCCTTCCCGGGGCTTCCGGAGCCGCTGCAGGACCAGGCCACGCAGACCCTGGAGGGGGAGGAGGAGGGCGAGCGGGAGGCCAGCGAACTGTTTGTCAATCAGGGACTCGCGTTCCAGCCGCAGATCGCCTACGAGATCCACTGCTGAGGCACCGTGGGGAGATGGGGGCGTTAGGGCAGGGCAGTGGGACAGACCCCCCCGTCCCCACTCCAGTGTGGATGTGACCCCGACCGTTCTCCTGCGTCCCTGTAGCTGTGATAGCTCTGCCCCGCTGTGATTTAGGGCGAGTAGAGAGGGAGCCGGGTCTGTCCTGGTGGAGCTGCCTGGGCATCACCAGCACCGGGCATGGTTGGTTCCCAGGGGTGCGGGGGCTAGACAGGCCGTCTGCCCAGCCAGACGGCTGCATCGCAGGGTGACCCTCATTTGCTCCCGGACTCCCCTGCACGGCTAGAGACACTGTGAAGCCACCTAGGGCCCCCAGGGCGTCGCCGGCCTGGCCAAGGGAGGGAAACGTCTCCCAGAGCTGAAAGAATCGCCGGGGGCGGGGGAGGGGGTGTTTTTTAATGAAAGAAATAAAATTGCGTCACTGTCAGGAGAAATGGAAAAGCGCCATATTTGTAGGACCTACAAAACCCAGCCTGGCTCTATGGGCACCCACACGTGCTCCCGTCCGTTCAGCCCTGAAGGCCAGACGGTTTCCACAGGCGCGTGGCGGCCAGAGCTGGGGGTTGGTGCGCCTGGCCCAGCCCTTTCTGTTACCCTCTGCCGGGAGTGGACCCCCGTCACTTCCAAGCCACCCGGCCTGGGCAGAGCCTCGTGGCTAGTTCTAGTCCTGGGGCGTCCTCCAGGGCTTAGATTCCCTTCCCTGGGCTGCCTGAGCCCTCCCATGTCCCCCGTTGCTCACATGTACCCCACAACCCCAGCTCGACTGGGGGCTCTCTTAGCTTCCTTGTTCTGGCCCCAAGGTCAGGCCCCCAGCTGAGCCCAGGAGTTTCTTAGCCACCGTGACTGTGTGGTGGGGCAAACGGATCTTTGAAAACCGAAGTCCCTGCCACCGTCTGGCTCCTGGGAGCCCTGCTCACGTGAGTGACGGCTCCTGCCCCACGATCGCACTGTGACGTTCCTGATCCCCCCATCGTGCTTCTCTCCCTCCCCCGCGACTGCCCCCTGTCTAGAAAGTCCCCCCGTGGCTGGGAGACAATCAGAATGCAGTGGTGACGGCTCTCGCCGGCTTTCCCCGGACAGGCCCTCAGGCTGGAGTGGAGAACAACAGGCTGATGGTGGCGGTGCTAATATTTCCACAGCCAGCGCCCCCTGTTCGTGCTTGGGGACAGACGCGCCCCACCCAGCCGTGGGAGTGCAGGGGGGTCGCAGAAGGAGCAGAGGGCACACCGCATGGGGCTAGGGTGATCAGACAGTAAGTGTGAAAAATTGGGACAGGGGTGGGGGGTAATAGGAGTCTATATAAGAAAAAGACCCAAAAATCGGGACTGTCCCTATAAAATCGGGACATCTGGTCACCCTACATGGGGCAGACAGACAGGGCCGTCCCTAGCCATTTGGCTGTGTGGGGTCCCAGGCCTCCCCCCCCCCCGGATCTGGGAGGCAGGAGTTGTGGGGGGCCACTTTTGGGGGCCCCACAGGCCCAGAGTGGCCCTGGGGGACTAGCGGGGAGCCGGGAGCAGCCCGCTCTGCTTCCCTCACGGCGGCCCCAGCTGTGTCGCTCGGGGGAGGAGGCTTGGGGGAAGGGATCCCCGCCGCACTCACCGGCAGCGGGGGGAAGCGGAGCAGCCCGGCCCCAGCCCGCTCCACTCTGCCAGCTCCCAGCCGTGGTGCTCCACTTCCCCTCGCCGGTGAGAGCCGGGGGCGTCCTTTCCCCAATCCGAGCGACATGGCCGGGGCCGGGGCAAGGGAAATGGAGCGGGCTGGGGCCGCGTCTCTCCGTTTCCCGCCACCGGTGAGTGCGGGGAGTGTCCTTTCCCTGCACTCGCCGGTGGCGGGAAGTGGAGCGCCGCGGCTGGGAGCTGGCGGAGTAGAGCAGACTGGAGCTGGGTTGCTCCGCTTCCCGCCGCTGCCCGTGAGTGTGGGGTCGCTGGGGGAAGAGGTGGAATGGGCGCGGGCCATGGGCGGAGCAGGGGGAAGGGTAAGAGGTGGGGCGGAGGGAGTTGCCCCTTGTGGGGGGGGCTGGCCGAGGGATAGTCGCCGGGGCTGGGGCTGCAGCGAATGCCGCAGATTTCACGGTGCCCTAGGTAGCTGCGTATGCCACGGGTGCCCTGCAGACAGACGCTGCGTCGCCGTTTCCAAGCAGGTCTCACAAGCAGCTGCGAATGCAAAACCAAAAAGGGCCCAATAAACTCGCCAGGGACGGTGGCTGGCGGTGCCGGTGGTGCCAGTGTCGGGCTAGCAGAGCAGCGTGGCCCCCGGCTCTCGTGCGCTGGAGGGGGGGTGCCCAGCTGGGAAGGCTCAGACCTGGGGGGTCCCCATATTGGGGCACCATCCTGCCATTGATGGGCTTGGAGGGCGAGCGGCACCTTGCAGGATCAGGCCCTGTGTTTGTCTCTGAGCTGGGCAGAGGAAAGGGGCCTTTGAGCCCCTCCGGTGTGTGGCCACGCCCCTTTCTGAGGGCAGCAGCCAATCACAGCCCAGCCAAGCTTGAGCGACCCAGCTGGGAAATGAACTTGCAGTGGTCGCCCCCTCCCCCACCCGTCCTGACCGTACCAGGAACGCGCCTTTTGGTCCAGGATCTGATGGGATTTGGCTTGGTGGGAGCAGGCACTGAGGAGGAGAGGCCTTGCTGCGTTCTACATGCCCTGGCTGGATCACTGCACGCTTCTGCAGCACCCGGTTAACCTGTGCAACTCCCTGCTGCAGGGTGCTGGTGAGGCAGGTGGCTCAGTGAGACTCTACGCCCTGATGCAGATGTTTATCTATGTACAAAAACCTTCTCCACTGGCCCCCACGCTCCAGGCCATAAAGGGAGCTAGGGCCAGGGAGGAAGTGCCCTTCCCACACCCCCAGGTAGATATGGCATAGTAACCTGCATTGCGGGGGCTTACATCTTCCTTGGAAGCCTCTGACATTGGTGCCGACTGTGAGATGATGGGGCGGGCGTGACAGCCCACCCCTCTGAACAGCCCTGCTCAGACAGGGTGTGTGTGTGTGGGGGGACAGAGGCGCGGAGCTGGGCGCAGCTGCACACTCAATGCCCTGCAGCCCTGTCTCCTCACTAGCCCTATCAGGGGCCTCCCAGGGTACGTCCACACAGCAATTAACCACCGTGGCTGGCCTGCATCGGCCGCTGTCCGTCCACACGGGGCCCCAGAGCCCAGGCTTCAGCCAGCCCAGCCCCACTGGCTACACTGCAGTTCTATAGCCCCACAGCCCGAGCCCCGTGAGCTCGACAGCTGACACCGGCCAGGCATGGGTAGTTCATTGCAGTGTAGACAGACACTTCCCACCCCCCCGCCCCCGGCCACTGACGCAGCACTGCTCCAGCAGGGGAGATCCAGTGTGGGGGTGTGTGTGGGGGAAGTGGCTGGAGAGTGAGATAACCGAGAGTCCCGTCCCCCCCCCCGCCCAAGACACCAGCTAGCCAAGCCTTATGTGTGTGAGTGACATTTACCAGCACAGGACTCCTGGGTTCTGCCCCCAGACTCTGGGAGGGGAGTGGGGCTGGAGGGGAGAGGGGCTGGACATCAGGACTCCTGCATCCTAGTCCTGGTTCTGGGAGGGGAGTGAGTAGGGTGCAGGGGGACAGGGGGTGGAGGGGCTGGAGGGAAATCTGAAGTCCTGGGTTCTTCTGCCACAGATTTCCTGGGACAAGGTGGGTGAGGTAACATGAGGCGTCTCTCTCTCACCAACGGACATTGGTCCTATAAAAAATATCACCTCCCACACCTCGGCTCTGTAATATCTTGGGGCCGGCATGGCTACAACAACACTGCATCCAACTGATTTCCTGGGTGAGTCGCTCACCCGGCTCCGGGCCTCAGTTTCCCCCTGGGTGAATTGTGCCTGTGGGCTGGTAGCACTAGTCAGCTCCCTGGCTGGGGTGAGTGTCTGGCGCACTGGAGGAGCCGGCCAGCGGGTGTCGTTGGAAAAGCTGCAATTACTATAGCTTTATTGGGATTGGCAGGGTAACAAACCCATGCACCGCCCCCCTCCCTGCCCCACACGGGGCATCTTGGCCTAGCGGCACCGCACTGGCGGGCAGCTCCACACACTGTCCGACTCCTCCTCCGTCTCGCCCCCGCTCAGGATGCCTGCCGTGGAGAGGTAGGTCCTGGTCCGGTAACCCCGGAACGCCGACTGGATCCTGATGGCGGCCTCCTTCTGCTCACGCAGTGCCCGCCGCGCCTGGCAGCCCCGCCAGAAGGCCTGGATGCGTGTGGCTGCCCGCGCCAGCTGCCAGTACCGCTTCCTGGTCTTGAAGACCCGTCTCTCGACCTCGGGCTGGCTGGGCGCAGAGAGCCAGGCTGCGTCTGTGCCCGCGGTGGCCTGCTGGCGCTTGGAGCTCGGGGGGAAGCTGACAGAGGAGTGGTACATCTTGGCACGCAGGCCAGCCGTGCTGCCCCTGCCCCGCTCCCTGCACCGGGTTGCTGCCCGGGCCACACAGGGGCGACCCTTCTGTCCTTTCTCCCTGCCCTGATGCCACACTTTGGGGACAGCCCGATCTTCACCCCTGCTTGCTGGAGGGGTGACCGTCCAGTGACGGTGCCCTTTGTAGACTGCTCCCTCGGCTCTCTCCGTACGGTAGGCCCCGGCTTGTCGGGCCTGAGCGCTGCCATGCCCAGTGCCGTAGCACGCTTGCTCAGCAACAGCACTGTAGCCGGTGCCCTCCCTCCTGGCGCTGGGGTGGCCAGGTGCCGCCTGCCGGGGGAGACCCTGCATGTGGTAATAAGGCCCCTCCGAGCTGGTATCCGACTCGTAGTCCGTGCCCCTCCCCTCCCCCACCAGGACCCAGACCAGCGTGCTCCGCCCGCACTTGGAGCATTTCTTGAAGGCAGGGGGAGCCGTGCCCCTTCCCTGCGCCCGACCTGACAGCTTTGTCAGCTTCTCCCTGCCAGCCCTGCACTCCCCTGGCCGGCGAGCAGGGAAGCCGAGCGGCGTCTGGGCCCCCGCGAGGCCGTGTGTCCTGGACGCCAGGCTGGTGGGGGATGGGGCCTCCTGCGCCCCCGTCATGTAGTTGATGAGCCCTCGGTACGTCTTGCTGAAGAAGTCCCTCAGGCTGCTGGTGGGGTGGGGCGCGGCCCTGGCGTGGGCTAGCTTTTGCCTGGTCCGGTACCCCCTGTAGTGGGCTTGGATGGTGGTGGCGGCTCTGTGGCTCTCTGCTAATGCCTGGCGTGTCCGGTACCCCCTGTAGTGGGCTTGGATGATGGTGGCGGCCAAGTTCTGGTTGTATATCTCACACCGCACCCTGTAGCCCCGGTAGTGGGCCTGGATCACCACGGCAGCCTGCTCCTCCTCGAGCTCCGGCTCGGCCCAAACATGCTCCCTCCTGGCCGTGTAGCCCTGCTGGGCAGCCGCCCCCACCCTCTGGCTGGCCAGCCGCTCCCTGGCGAGGTATCCCCTCCAGACGGCTTGGATGGCGACGGC